AATAATAATAATAATCATAATAATAATAATAGAGATACACCAGTAATACAGGCCTGCCCAAATTGTACCAGTTAAGAAAGGAACCCCCAACATGATTGATACGATTATAAACACCTTGTATGACATAATGGCCTGTACAACAGACCTATAAAATGATAATTAAAAAAAAAAGATATTTCGACCAAAAAGAAAGAAGAAATCCCCTTCCTCTGTTTGCGCTGATAACCCACCTTAACTTGTCATTGTGACTGCTGGAAATGATAAGTAGTCCTTTCACTTTTTTTGTGTTTTTTGGTTTTTTTGTGTTTTTTGTGTTTTTTTTTTTTTACATTTTTGGTTAGAAAGTTCTCCGATCCATGAAGCGATCCTGAAAAGACAGTGTTTATTATAAAATTAGGCAAATGTCTGTCCCAGCTTTAAATCCTTCCTGTTTTGCTGTTGTTTTGTATATTTCTCCTTCTCTCCCTTGTCCCCAGCAACATGGTGAGAGGATGCCCATCACATTATCAGTTTATAGACCCCACTGGCAGCCAATCCCACCACACAGTGAAACAGGCTGCTAGCAGCACAGCTCAGCCCGGCTCACTGTGCCTTGGAGGCAGTAGTGGTGGTGGACGTGGCCCCGCTCGCGGAGGCCACAGTGAGGAGAGAGTTCTGGATGGACTCAGCTGAGGTGGAGGTGGCATGAAGGCTGGCGACTGGTCCAGAGGCCCCTGCGGAGGCTGCAGCTGCAGAGACCAAGCTAACCGGGTTGCTGGTGAGCAGAGAAAGGTTCTGAGGGTTCAGGAACAGAGGGGCAGTTACGATGTTAGGAGTACCTCCAGCATTGGCAAACACCAAGTTTCCAGTTGCATCCAGTGATGTTATTGGAAGGGAGCCACCAGATGCAAGAGCTAAAAAAGGGAAAATTGAGCAGGGAGGAGAGAACATTAGCGGTAAGCAGTAACGCAGAACATGCCTAAAAGTGACTGGTCTCCGCATTCTCCTTTCTCTGACAGGCGTGGCACCGCTAACGACAGGCATCTCATCACAGGTTGCTTTGTAAAAAAACAACTCCTTGTGAAGAGTGGACTAGACCTTGCAGATACTAGAACACCTCTGTTGTCTGCTCCTAAACTGATTCCATCAGGCCTTTCTCAGACCTCTAAGCGCAACACTGGTCCACGTTTCCTGCCACAGAAAGCCTGTATGTTCAGGCAACCTGTACTGGACGGGGTCGAGATGAGTGTTCACAAGAAACGGCAGCTATCACAACATGAAGGTCACGTCACCTTGAGTGTAACATTTCAAAAGCTGACATATAACCACTGTTACAACTGACTCTCACCAGTTGGCAGGGTTCAGTCTACCTTAGATTATGATCTCCTAAATTTGTCTGTGACAATTTACGAAACATCTTTTTCTTGTACCCTGGAAATCAGATTTGTTAAGCTAGTTTAGAGGATTTGAATTAGCTAGCTCTTTAGGCATTTGCACTACCTAATTTTACAGATGAGAAACTAATAACTGAGGAATAACTCTTGCTAAAGTCAGTGGGAATTTCTGGCTGTGTGGCACTTTCAAAAAAAATCTTTACTTGTTTGAATAACGATTTAAACTTTAGGAGGTAGGTTGTTTGTTGTGGCTTCCTTTAAATACATAGAAGAACAAGAATTTAGGATCAAGTCTTGCTTGGAAATGCCCTCCTAACAGACCTTAAAACAGCACAACTCTGCTCAAGCCTATACTTGAAGAGCTATAAAAATCAAATCTCTAATCTGCTGGAGATACATACCAGTGGGAGGAGGATAACAAAATACATTCCAGATCACGTTCAGTATCTTAAATGCCTCCTGTAAATCACTACAAGATCATACACAGTTCTAATCCCCTTTCTGAGGCTGCATCTGCTCTTATGTCTGTGATACACAAAATACGTTTATGCATTTAAATTTTGTAAAGCCCCCACTCCTATAACATTTATGTCCAGTGTTGAGGAGTTAATGTTCTTTGTTGACAGAGAAAAACAAAGCACGTAAACTGAAACTGTATGACAGAGAGGCATTAAAAGGAACACTACTGACCTTGAATAGTTGCCAGTGTACTGTTGCTCATCAGGGCTGGGCTGAGAGCACCACCTAATGTCCCTGGATTGAGACTGAGTAAGGCACCTCTGCAGGAAGCAAGATCGTCAAAGAAAAGACAAAGGGAAGTTACTTTTAAGAAATGGGTTTCAATGTTCAGAAGTACACCCCCATACATAACAAAAAAAAAAAAAAGAGAGAGAGAGAGGGTGGGAAAACCAGAGATTAAGGGCTAATTTTAGTTTATTTTAGTTTTTCCATCATAATGCCTTGAGTAGGCATTGCCTTTCAGCTGTGTTACTGACATGTCCGAAGTACCAGCACAGTAAATACATGACTTATATTGATTGCTGCAGTCAAATTTTCTTGTATTCTGGGGAAACTCCCACTCCTTAGAGAGCTATCATCATCTCCCATATTCAGATAAGATAGGAGTAAACGAAGAGGAACTGAAGAAACAGAGTCATCTCTCAGAGCAACATTTTTCAAACTAAAACTTCAACAATACATCATCATGCATCTTTTACAGCTTCTTGCTCATGATGAAGAAATGAATAGAGAGGCGTGAAATGGGTCTAGCCTAGCTCTCCATTTTATAATTAGTAGAACAGATTCTGTGATTCACTGGTAAGCTGCAGCTCTTAAGTCAAGCTCCACAGTGGGATGGATGACTTATCAAATAACAATATTGCTGCAACGCAGCTTTTCCATTTGTAAAATGAAAATAGCATTTGTGTACATCGATGGGAATGGCCAATTACCATCTGTAAGTCAACCTTGAGAATTTGAGATAAATGACACCAGAATCACTGAGCTACTAGAAAATAGTGATACGTAAAAGCAATTTATCCCAAGAATACTCCTTCCCTCTTTTGTCATCTCACCTAAAAGGGTGTGAAAAATTCATCCTTACCCAGCTGCAAACTGCGAGGATGCCATCAAGCCTGGGTTTAGTCCCGCTGCAGCAGCCATGGCAGCAAGACTTGCATTGGCAGGCAACTGTGCAGCTCCTTGTAATGCGGCAGGCGGCCCCCGGTAAGGGGGCAGCTGCCGCTGTTTGCAACCCTGATGCCGTTACCATCACCTGGCTGGTCCCAAGAGGGGAGGACAAGGGAGTGGAGGTTGTCTGTGTTGTGCTGGTCTCACTGGCACTGGATGCCTCTGAAGCGGAGGCTGAGGCAGAAGGGGAAGGACTCAGGGAGGGTGATGTCACTGCCGAAGAAGCTGGAGGTGCTGTTGAAATCACTGTTGCCGTGTTGTTGGAGGTGGTTTCTGTTGTGCCTGGAAGATTGACTCTGGTTAGATCAGTACAAAACACAGGTATGTCTGAACAGAAACCACTACCCACCTGGACCAAACTGCACATCCAACTGAAAGGGAGACACATACACATTTCTGTAGGACCAAGAAGCACCAAGAGTTGAAATGAGAAGCTCAAACTACAATGAAGTGACAACAAGAGGCCGAGGAGCTCTAGAAGCTAGCAATGGAATACAGCATATTTCATTTCAGCATCACCTGTGATTCTAATCCCAGAAAATGGTCACAAGGCCTGAAGTTTTCTAGTGGAGTAACAAGTAACAATGACAAGAATGTCCTCGGATACCAGTGACCAATACTGAATGACCTTCTGAAGAGTTTAGAAGGGGAAAATGGTAGAGGTTCATGTGGTGGCAAGAGAAATCAGCCCTTACCTGTGACTGACAGACTAGTTACAGCATGACTGGTCAGAGGGAGCACAGGATTGACAGTCAGAGTTGTAGCTGCACTGCTAGTCACAAGGCTTGGCGTGGTTGCCACCTGGAGGTCAAAAAAGAATACAGCTGCTCAACTGTTAAGCCACAAAGCTAGCTACTACTAGACGTCTTTCTTCCCATTCTCAGCTGAGGGAGTTATCATGGAAAATACTGCATATAAACTAACTTTTTTGTAATTCCATTACTTTATCATTCAGTGGACCAGTGACAGTGCCTTCTCTAATTACCAGCAATATTTTCATTCTTAATCATTCAGCATTTGAAGGAAAATATATCCATTACATCCACACTGTCTGAAGACTGCAAGTTAGCCCTCCCTCTCTGTCTCCCCTCAAGGGCTGCACCTCGTTTTAATAGAGTGACTCTGCACAGAGTTATCAAATACGTTATTTCTGCATGGTTTTTTTACTTGTTTAAATATCTTTTCAGCTCCAAATCTCTTTCTCTGATAAAATCATCGAAATACCCCAGCATTACCAAACGTATTTAGAGTAATGTGTTTATATGGATAAACAGAAAAACATTTCATTTTTACTCAACCACTCCATAAGCTCTACTTTGGTAAGTTTCCTTGTGCCAGAGGAAGGATCTCTGAATTTTAAAACATTCAAATGACATTAGCTCATTTTGCTTGCGGAAAGCTTATTACAAGAAAGCTACAATAAACTGAACACATTACAGATAAAAAACACAAAAGATATAAGGCTGGAGGAACTAGCTTGTGAGGAAATACAAAGAGAGAAAGGATTTGTTATGGAAAAGAAATGGTATGCAACAGTAATATTTGAAGGCTGTTCTACATCAATGAGAGAAATGAATCCTTTAGAATTGCCCAAGAGAACACAGCCAAGGCTATAGGGTAAAACCTTCCTCCTATCCTCTCTCTTACCTTAAGTTTATTATCAGAGAAATCTCTCTCATGCTGCGTATCCTTTTATAGGAAGTCAAATGCTTCGTGCATTTTAAACAAGACTGGGGGAACTGCGACAGATTTAAAAGCTTTCTGCCCATCTCAAAAAGCATATGAAACAAAAGAGAGCTAGATACATAGTACACTTCCCACTAACGCAGCCGAGACACTGTATCTGTCATCTGTCCACAGAACAGTTTAGGCCAAGGTCACAATCCAAATTTCAGGACAGTGAACGACCTAGAATTAATACAGCTACGTCGTGGTTGCAAAGACTGACTCTGGCCAGCACAAAAGCAGGCTGCCATCAAAAGGAGCACTCCGTTCCAACCCTGCTTCAGAGCCCTAGCACTTGTACAGCCAGGCTACCAGTCAGACTGGGTATCTAGCCAATACTGGAAATCCATCGTTGTTCCTCACGTGGCTAATTTGCAGTCAAACTAGTAAATTAAGCCCCATCATCCTACAGACACATAAACTGCAGAGCTGACATGAGGAATCAACAATGCACATAAGCCAATGAAGGCTACGAGGATGATGAAGGGTCTTGAAAAGAGAAGCCTGAGAGGGGACTCTATTAATGTATATAAATATCTGAGGAATGGGTGTCAAGAGGAAGGGGACAATCTCTTCTCAGTGGTGCCCAGCAATAGAACAAGGAATAATGGGTGTAAGTTAGAACACAGGAAGTTCCACCTCAACATGAGGAGAAACTTCTTTACCGTGAGGGTGACAGAGCACTGGCACAGGCTGCCCAGAGAGGTTGTGGAGGCTCCTTCTCTAGAGACTTTCAAAACCTGCCTGGACGTGTTCCTGTGTGGCTGCCCTAGGGGATCCTGCTCTGGCAGGGGGGTTGACTAGATGATCTCTAGAGCTCCCTTCCAACCCCAAACATTCTGTGATTCTATGAAGGCTGGAGGTACCAGGGTTGGAAGATCCATTTGAGTGGCAGCACAGTCTTAAGAGAAACTTAAAATAACTGCAAATGCTTAGTGAAACATCAACGAAAAAATGGAGGCTGTGGTTAACACCTCCATTTCTTACATACAACGACAGTTTATAATAAAAAGGAAATTAATGTAGGAAAGCTTAAGCTGCAGTCTGAGTAAACTTGCATAGTTACTAAAACACACTATCATAAACCTCATTATGTTCCGCTTTAGTGGCAAGGCATGCAACCTTGCTTTCCAATTGCAAAAAAAAAAAAAGACTAAGTAACATTTAACACACCCCTTCCCCTGGAACAAAAGGTTGCATGCACACATCCTGAGACAAGGATGAGGGGAAAGAATGACACATCACCAAAATTAATGGTTTAATGGAGTACTGGAAGATATTAGCTACTACAGTGATGAGGGTGGAATAAATACTACAAAAGGACAGCTACAGGCTACAGAAATTCCACCACATTCCTATTAGCATAGCTAGTATGAAATCTAATAGCTACTGTTCTATTTATGAAAACAGACCTCCATGGACATTGGTAGCAAAGGAGCTGAAGGAACCTTGATTCATGTGTTTTGTTACTCTTATTTTCATGAAGTTTGTGTTTACCTGAGGCAAATACAAGTGTGGGAAATTAATTACATGATTATTAGCTAAATTGTTCCTTTGTTCCATGTCTTTTTATATAAATCATTCCTGAATAAAAGTGACAACAATGGTATCGTTGGATTTGTGTGACTTAAGACTCTGAATGCTATGTTTTACTGCTGCTCATCTAGTTAGAAGAGCAGCCAAAACAAGAGGGGAGGGGTAGAGCTGTTAAGCAATTTTATTACTATTATTTTACAAAAAAAGTTTGGGCAAGAGAAAATCCAGATATAAACTGGAGCTGCTATCTGGAATTTGTTCAAAGCAATAACTCCAGATGCAAATTTGCTAGTCAGAATATTTACTCACAAGATGACTAAATAAAACATCCAAACCAAAGGCCCAACTAGCACTAGCCTGATTTGTAAGCATTCTCTCTCTTAGATAATATGCAAGTAGGGTATTTAAAATGCCAGTAAAATACAAATTTGTGAGAATGAGTCTGCTGTACAAAAAAGGTGTAGCATGTGCAACTTCCACAGTGAGCACAGTAGAACAGTCTCTTCAAGTGACTTCTGCCGACATAGTTTCTTGATTCTTACCAGTGAGGTTGGGCAAGGGAAAATTGCTTTGATGGGCGAGCTGCTGGTTCCACCACTGCTGGGTGGGTTAATCCTTTTCTCCTTCTGGCGCCGGTTACAGAACCAAACGCGGATCACCTCCTTCTCCATGTTTAGCTGGTCAGCTATCATGGTGATCTCATCCGAGGTAGGCTTTTGGTTCTGTGCAAAGGAGATGGGACATGAAAAGCTGTGAAATTACCTCAGAAGTTGTACATTATAGCTGCTTATTCACTGTGGAGAAATTTGGATGGGCCATTTACATGCAGAATCTGGTTAATGGTACAGTGGAGACAGACCATAACAGATACTTCTGCCCTCCATCTTCCTACTTATAAGAACATTTCTTAGCAAGCTGTGTACCCCAGAGACAAGTGATGAAGATTAAGCTCACATGCTTCTTTTTGAGAGAAGGGATCTGATCTGAAGGAGTTAATCCTTCAAGGAATTCTGGACCTAGATAAAGAAATTTTTCTTTTAGCATCTCTTGAAAAGGAATAGGATAGACTGACGATAGCAACAGCCAAATGAACCCCAAGTTACGTAGACCTGTAATGAAAGACAGGTAGATTGAATGGGCTACTTATGGAAGGTATCTACCCATGCAGCTGCACAAAGTGCTTAACATGAGTAACGTAAGGCTAGCTAAAAACCTCACATTATGTATATTTAGACTGTCACCCCACTTATCCACCCTCAGAAAGGGTAATCTTTTTTTCTTCTTTTTGAAGTGCAGAATACTCAGCTATGGGTCAGTATTTTGTAATGTGAAATCACAAAGTCAGTAAACTGCAAGAATCAGTGAGGTTTTTTTGAGGGGGTTTTGTGTTCACTTTTTTTTAAAGCAAAATAGACATTGATGCTTGCTTCTTGGCAGAGCCTTTGTATTCACCTTGTTTAGTACAAGCACTTTCCTAAATAGCTCAGTAACAGGTTCACTCTGATACATGTGATTATTAAACAAAATTTCTTCCTTTCTTTATAGGCTGAGCAGAGCAACAGGATCACTGACCTCCAGAAAACTCTTCTCTAAGGCCACACGTATGTTGGTCTCTATGCTGGTGCGTTTCTTCCTCCTACGGTTCACGCCTTCAATCCCCATCCCTGGAGAATTCAGGGCACTTGGGCTGGAGAGAGTTGAATCAGATGAGAGGTTTTCTGAAAAAAAGAAAGTACTATAAATCAGGAGATTTTATCTGAACACAGTACATTCTAATGCAAATGTTCTTCACTTGTGCAAGGTATGTTAAAACCCACAGCATTAATTGCTGTACTTGTAAATTACAGCATATACGTGAGACTTAAAAGGTACAAGTAATCCCAGAGGGCACTCTCTTCTTTATGCTACCACAGTATCCCTTTTCTAATACCTATACAAAAGCTTGTCCCCCTTATCTCATTCCATCTCACGCTTGCTTACTGCAAGTCGAAGTTTAAAGACAAAATGCAGTAACTGATTTCCATGGGCCACAGCTGTAAGCTACAGGCAACTACGAAAAAATCTGAGCAGCCTCAAATTTCTTTTATTTACTCTGCAATACGCTAGAGGAAGAGGAAGTTCAGAGCCAGCTTCACAGGGTTCAACCTCTTCTCTCTGGAGATCTTGGCCAATACTCAGCGCTGTGCAGTTCTACCAAACAGCCTACAAAGCTAGCAGCTCCTCCTCTTCAGCTTCACTACGGGTCCAGCTGCCAACCCCTAATCCTGTCTTTTTGGCTCCAGAGGTAAGACACTTGACCCCACTTTGTAGTAGAAAGTGCAAAATAACCAACAGGCAGGTTCCAGTAGAGAAATTAAACAAAATTATTAATTATGGCCAGAAATTCCTCACTGCACTGGAGTTTGTGGGTGATAAGCAGGCGTGAAAGTTCACAATGCCTAAGATCATTCTGGCAGGCTCAAATGGGCAAGTACATTCAGTTCACTATTTTCTAGATCTTCTTTTTCCCAGTAATGGCACCAGTCAATGTGTCGAAACCCCTTTCCACCCTGAAAATCCCATAGAACAAGCTGCCACAAGAAATTCTTCAGGACTCTAATGTAACATTAATGGAAGGGATTACTAGTATGCTTTTCCTGCCTGCTATTACCTAAAAGTGGCCTTTAAAGTAACCAGAACCTTTCTTCCAAAGATTTTCATGAAACTTTATCAGACCTAAAGACAATGGTTCCCACTTCCAGGCTGTGAAGGACTCTGATACTCTTTAGAGTCCTTAACTTCACAGATTCAAGTATTTCTCCAGGCTAGCAGGAAAAGTAAAGTATGATGTTTCCTGCAGCACTGGACTCATCCACTGTTGCTGGAAGGCGTGGGGACCACTGGCCTGTGGACTACAGCACTCAGTGTGAAGGTCTTTATGTTTCCTATCACAGATCTAGATTACTTAAAGATAACCCACGTCAGCACAATGACACTTCCTTGTTTCAACGCAGGACAAATTTTCAACACTGCATCAAATTACTTTTCAAAATTTCAGAGAATGCTCTAGGCACCAGCATAAAGCTCTCTTCATTTTGGTAAAAATAGGAAGGCAGACACCATCCCTGCCATCTGTTTAGCAGATCCAACAGTTTTATACTATGTACTGTTGTATACCTGGGGAAAAAAAAACCTGGCTGATAACACTCTTAAACACTTTCTATCCTAACACCTAGCACCACCATCCAAGCTCTTTTTGATGGTGATAAAAAAAAAAAGAAAACAAAAAATGAACACTACCAAGACTGGCATCACGAATAACTCCTACCCCAGGAAAAAAACCCCAACAATTCTGGAAGGAAAAAGCAAAATCTAACCCACAAAAAAACTCTTCCTATGGGGAGAAGGACAGTGTTTATACAGACCATTGGAGAGGTGAAAAGAACACACATAGGGGTGTGGGAGGAGATGAATGCAATAAGCTCTGCCTACTGAAACAACAAACCATGCAACCCTCTCTCTACAACACATCTGAAAAAGAAAGCTAGAAGAGGATTAGAAGTTATATGCATTGACATACATACATGAAGGAGGAAAACCATGACACATATTATACCTCACCCCATGCAATTATTCAGCTGGCTGCAGAACACAGTTCTGAAAGTTCATATCGGAACAATTTTGGATGCATACGGGCACACAAAAAGTGAAGTATGGACCCTTGCCCTATACCCTTATTTGGCCCATGGATGGTTACAAAGATGGGTGGCTTCATAAAACCTTAAAGGCACAAACGAAGCAGTTTTTCAGAGCTCTACTTATTTTGGTAGGCTGGTGAAGAAATACACAGACTCATTCACCTGCATCATTGAGCCACTTTTCCAGAAGCGGCTTTAACTTGCACATGTTCTTAAAGCTGAGGTTCAAGGCTTCAAAGCGAGAGATGGTAGTTTGGCTGAAGTCATTTCCATAGAGTTTGCCCATAGCGAGCCCAACATCACCCTGGACAAAGAAAGAGAAAACAGGGATTCACTAACATAGGCACTTCCAAAGCAAGGAAACCTGTCACATTCTTGTGTTCTCTTACTGACCCCACTGCTACATGGGATTTCAGTTTCACAGAAACTCGCTTGGTGCTACCAAGATTCATGCTAAAGCAAGTAATCACAAAGAACTGTAAAACCTCAGTCAGTTTAACCATGTAACTCTTTTCAATAAATGCCTGATGCTTTGTCTTCTTAGCATTACCAGTGAGCAGAACATTCCACTGAGTATTAACTTCTAATTTTTTTTCTTAGTTCTTTAAAACAAGTAAAGGCTGAGCTCTCTTTAGGAGCAGATTTAAGTATCTGCTTATTTCATACCAAAGAAGAAAAGTTCAAATAAGTAGAAATGCAGTGAAGTTATGTTCTCAAATTAGTAGAAAATATTATTGAAAAAATGTATGCAAACGTGTCACATTTAAAGAGATGCAAAAATATTCTTCTCTGAACTTTAGTATCTTTGGAGGTTCAAACCAAACTTTTCCCCACAGACAGACATCTCAAAGTGGAAAAGAAGTTGAACCATTTAAAATAATGATTAACTGTAGTCTTCACTATTACGCAACTGCCAAAAAGCTATCCAGGAGATTTACAGACAGATGATTGTCTCTTTACATCTGTCATTGCTTTTCCAAACTCAGTTTTAGCTAACTATCAGACATTCTGCTTATCCTTTGTGTGTGTGTGTGTGTGTATATGTAGTTTACAACTGGACATTCTTGCTTAAAAAAAACAATCAATCCATGATTGTGGCCATTAAAAACACCATCACGTTTTCCTGGTCTTGTTTTGAAGTCGGAAAGTCCTGCCCTTTAAAAAAAAGCAATTATTTTTTAAGTATGCTACTTGGTCTAAAGTAGTTTAATTTACATTTTTTACCCCCAATAAAGTATGAAAAGTCTAAAAGAAGAGACTGGAAAGCTTGAGCGTAGTTAGTGGAGTTTAATTGCAAGTGGGTTAGTTGGATTGTGCATAAAGCTTGTTTGCTTTCCTTGTAGATCAGATCCAAAACCACAGCTTGATACAAGTATACTAATAGCATGCAGAGTGGCCACATACAAGCGAGGAAGAAAACAACCTTCGGTAAGCTTAGCAAATTGTGCAGGTTGCGTAAAGAAAACAATTTCCTTCCTAGAAGAGGACCAGACCAACTGGTTTGTACGCCCTTCAATCAGAGGAAACACGCGGGAACCCACATACATACCCCTAGCCATATGCCAGGATTCCGTGCGTTTTAAAACTCATAAATCATTCCAAGAGAAGTAACATGGGTGCTCTACTGGGTTTATGAAGAGGAAAACCTGGCTACGTAAACCATTTTAGAGGTAAGTTGATTTACGACTTGGCAGGAAACAGTTATGAAATTTGCTCCAGTCCCCAACTAAATTTGATTCTGGTATTTATGTTGTTCTTACTAATATTTGCCACCTGATTTAAAATGAATAGTTAACCATTTCTTTGTCAATAGTTTTTAAAGCCAAAAAGGTGGCAGCATTTCTGCTGCAGGCAAAGGAATTTACATTCTGGGATGAGAGTTTTATGTATTGGGATGGGCCACTGAAAGGATGGATGGAACGGAGGATGAAGGCACTGTATACACACCTGATCTACACTGCAAGTCCAATGAAGCTCTGGTACTAACTGAAACTAAGGTACGTTGTTGTGTGTACTGGTCTGTTACGAAGCTCAGAAGGACTAGCAGAGGTAATATCTTTCACAGAATAACATTGTTTAAAATGTTCACTCACAGAGCTTGAATCTGCACTGACCAATTAGTCACATACCTGCAATAATGCTAAGATACAGTATGCTCATTGTGTCTCTGTACATCCAAACGTGGAGATATTTTTAAGGAAAACAATTAAACAAAAGGATTTAAATCCATCACCCACTTTTCAGGGTGGGAGAAGAGACAGAACTGCTGAAATTCAAAACCTGTTATATTGTTCACAAGACAGAATGTGGCAAGCGATTAGTTTGCAATGCAAACTAAATCTTATAATTATTTTTGAAAGACAGGAGAGGTGTGAGTCTGAAAAAGCTTACAGTACCACTGGAAATAAATTTCTTTTATCCTCTGAAAGGCACTCTATTTATCCAACTATAGGAAACTAAAGTAATAGGGTGTCTAATTATCATCCAATTATGCAATTAGGTAGAAGTTATTAGAATGGCCTAATTACACACATACAAACTCAGAGTAGGATAGGAATGATCAAATACAATTCTATCGCTTTCTCAAGATCCCCCTGCTTTAAGCTCAAATGCAAATACTGAAACGTAAGCCTGAGCAGTTGCGTTCATTTTTCCTCATCAAGAAAATTCACAACAGGGTCAATAAAGAAGGGTTAACTCGTAACTTAAAAAGTCTAGTTGAGCCTTTATAATCATCTCACAGCAGGGCAGATTAAACATAATAACTAAAGACCTACGTGAACCTCCTCAGTCATGCTACAAGGAAGCTATTGTATTTTACTCTATTCTGCTCTGCTCTATTCTAGCTTTTGTGTGTGTCCATCACTTGTATTTCTGTACCTCCCTCTAGCGGGAAGAAGGGAGGGAAGGAGGCACACACGCCAGCAAAATGCACTTCATTTTACTAAGAACATTCTGTTCTTGAGTTATAATTAAGATGCTGCCAGGAGCTTTCATTACAAACCAGCCCTGATTTTTCAAACATTTAGGACTTTGTCAGAAAAATAAATCTGACTTCAGCACATACTTTCAACTAGAGTAGATTTACCTACCCTGGGGAAGAACAAATCGCCTATGTTGGATTGACTGCTCTGAGCTCAGACTTTTAAATACTTGCTTTGATTTTTGCATGCTATTTCTTCTAGCAAAATCATGCCTATGCTTACCACAGACTCCTGCCAAAATTAATTGTTTACCTGGATAGATATTTTAATTTTGGGGGGGGGGGGGGAAATCATTTTGATATTAATAAGAAAGGACTTTTGGATTCAAGCAGAATTTCCCTTCAACAGAATAAGAGAACATAAAAATGCACTTTGTACTTTTAATTGTGCTCCTCATTTGACCATTTTCACTATGTTCGAGATTACTTTTCTTCTGCTCTATTGGTATTTCTGAGCTTTTAAGTAAACCAAAACAAACCACAACTGCAGTTCACTTCTGTAAGGAGAGAACTTCAAAGGTGACAGTCCTTTCAGGTTTTGTTTAGGAACTTTAGCAAAAGCATTAAATACAGAAATCATTGATGTTTAATAGGAAAATACGCTTGAGAGATAAAAACCCTTTGACATCCAAAGCAGCTCCACGGTTGCGAGATATTTTTTAAACACACAGAGCAGTTAATTGTGTTGTATGATTTTTGGAACTTTGTACTTCTGAAGGCAGCTTTAAAGCGCTTTGTCCTATTCATTTTACATCCTATAGAATGAATAGTGCACACGCAATGACATCTGGAGCTGGTAAATGCATGTACCTGCTGGGAAAATGGCTATGCTTTAAAACCAACAGGGAAGTAAGATGGATGTACGGCTTTTTCTCTTATTTCTAAGAAATCCCCTACATAAAGGCCAGAGCATAACCCTATTTAAGAAGGTTCTCCTAGGAAAAGGTGGAATTGTAGTCTCCCTCCAGACTTGAAAGATGAGACCTCAGATTCCACACTGGCAGGCACTAAGGTACGCAGCCTCACCTGAGTGAATCCAAGTTTGATCCGTCTTTGTTTGAAAGTCTTGGCAAACTGCTCAAGCTCCTCAAGGTCACTGGGCTCCTCCAAGCTGGGAGTGTCGATTCGCTTTGGTGTTGACTGGCTCTGTGGAAGTGACTGAATGGGGGTCGCCGCTATTGTGCGTGTTGGGGTTGCTGGCTATTAAGACAGAGAGCAAGGAAAAGATGACAATCAGACTCAAAAGAATAATCAGCAAAAATTAAATTCTAAAAAGGCATGTGAGGTTTCTGAGGGAAAGATCAATGAATTTGACATTTCCAGCAATCTGAAAGTTCCTCCGATTTATTTACATTCCTCACAAGAATGAACAATCACAATCCAGAAGACTGCATTAGTATGACAGCTTTTTAAAGGCTCTGTCAGAACCAATTAAAGAAAAGTAAGAGACGTTCAATGCAGCAGATAACCAAAAAGCTTTTGCTTGCCACAGAAGCTGCTCAAAAAAAGGTTGAACACTTTTACCTGATATAGTTCTATCATTTATAGACAGCTTGGCATTCATCCTCTTTTAATCATTTTGGAATTGAATTTCCTGCTTCTGTGAGGTGGCAGATTGTCATCAACCCAAAAGATTCAAGTCTCCTATTTAATCTTGGAACAGTGAGCACATATAGGTGCAGCAAACACGGCAAGTTTCCTCTAATGCCGTCCCTTGTGACTGACTCAACTTTTACAGTGAGAAAAAACTAGATTTACCTCTAACCCTTCTGTTGGTACTTGTAACAGTAAATATGAATATACTGGTGATACAAGAAATTAAGCAAAGCAACATGCAGAAAATAATTCCTTTAAGGCCACATTCTTCTTCTATATAGCAAGTTAATTTTTCAGGAAGTCCACACAAGGTACACTATTCCTGAACATCAGTGGCATACTAGAGCATTTTGGTATGTGGCAATACTAGGAATCTCAAAAAACCTGAGCATCATGGGAAATATTCACAGGCGAACAACATGTATTAAGATCTGGTATTGGTTCAGGCTTTAGGTGCAACAGAAACACTGGAAACATGTTTTGAGTGCATAACTCTACCTTCTTACATGCCATACATGAACTGAGATGCAGAGACAAATCATTTACTTTAGTTAAATTCTATTCAGTTTGGCTGAGGCTCTTAAGCAAAGTGATTTCATGCTTTTATGCACCATGCCCAGCTCTGAAACTACAGATTCCTTCAGGGCAAACTAGAATAGCCTCAAGTCTATGCAACACTACAGTACTATGCAAAGTCTATGCAAAGGTCTAGGAACGGCTGTTCTAAAAGAAATGGCCTACATATAGCTCAGTCTTTACATAGCTCCTTATGCTGTTTTTCTCCTGGGTTAGTGCAGTATTTTGCAGTGCAGAGCAGATGGTAGAGGGAGGTCAGGATCTATAATTCCATTACCTGAGAAATAATGTGATCATATATGATCTTTCTAGGATTGCAGATATAAAGGTTTTTCATATTAAACATAGTGAGTAATTACTGCAATATGTCTTTACTGACTTCACCCTGTTTATATAATTTATTTTCTCTTTATAGTTTTGATATATTTTTTTTTAATCCAAGTATAATCTCTAGTAGGGAGTCATGCTGCTAACCGAGGTATGAACTACAGAGGTGAGACTAATTCTATTTTCCACATGCTGCATGAAAAATACTATAGGTGGTATAATAGAAAATGCAGTTTTCTAAGACTCTGATAGACTCAGACTAAAAATTCTTATATGTAACCAAGTTGGCAGGAAGATGCGCTATGATATTACATGGTATTTGAGAAACAGCATGCAATCATGTAACTGAATTGCACAGTAAAACCCAGGGTGAAGCAAAACTAAATTTGCAGGCATGTACAACCTTAAAATTGCTTTTCTTACAGTCTGAAAGCTTAATCATAGAGCTTTAATATTTTAACATATATCTAACAGAGCATTTTAACGCACTTCTAACAATCTCTTCACTTTCATAGAAGCTAATCGGTAAGATTGGCAATGACTTAGCAATAATAGCAAGACAATTAGGCTACAGTAAAGACAGATTACCACAGGAATCTTTAGAAAAAAAAGACACGTGTCAGTAAGCATATTTCTGAGGTTTTTCTTAGGTAGCCCACACCTGGCTCCTCTGAATTTCATAAATTTGTAGATTGTTCAAGAAATCCTCACAAGAAATCAAACTATGGTCTAGCGTCACTAACTCAAGATATCAATTGGAATTTTCAGCTAAAATTAATAATTTAGAACATTAAATGCATGAAAAGAGGCACATTAGGGTGGAAACTGCAGAAGTGACGAAGTTACTGATACTTCAGTTCTACATTGAATCTACCTACAAAGACAAACTCACTATTATAGCTACAATATCTACTCTGCTAACTAATACAAAGGGTCCATTTGCTTGCAATAGTTTAAATCCCCTCAGAGCAACTCAGGAACTGCAGAAAGCCTGACCTGCGAGGCAAGGGTGATGCTTGGCTGAGACTGCAGGAGGTTGGCTTGGCTTTGCTGAGGTAGTTGCGTTAAGAGATTCTGCGCTTGCAGGAGACCTGGAGAGAGAAAAGGGTGGGTTTGGTTTGTCACCTAAGAAGACTAAAACATGAACTGAGGTAAAACAAGACTCTTGCCAAATACTGACAGTTACAAAAAAAATTGAGATGCAAGCCTTCACTTCATCCCTGCGTAGGTATCTTCTATTGGACTATTCTTTTGGACTTCTAAGTCCAAAATCCCCTTGCATATTCCCAGAGTATATACGGTGACAGAAGGCTGCAAGAGAGAAGTCTATACTAATCCCCTTTGCAGAAGGAGTTTGTAATGATCTACATTATTTCAGTTCTGCGTGCAGGAATCATTCATTCTCCCTTTCAGCTTTCAGCTTTGGGTTAAACCTCTTCCTATACCCAACAGCTGACCATGAATTAGGGATCCATCTGAAAATAAACAATTGAACAATAATCAGATCAAATTGAACAACTGTATGCTAATCAAAACTACAAATTTGCCCCCTCTTCCTTCTTCTCTGTATCACCCCATGCCAGCTGCCTAATAAGAAGGTAACTTTCTCTGTCAAATTTCAGCAGACCACACCCAAGACAAAACAAAGCTGGATAACTTCCTCCTAGCTGAACTACAGAAGGAATATCTTTTAGAAAAGTAATCAGAACTTAAAGCTTAGGTAAGATACTGAACACACACACAGAATAAATGCTACACTGAATATATGAAAACCCCTGCTGTTATGAAAGGGTGACAACATTAAAGAACAGTTAGGACTAATGCATCCAAAATATACAATATGCTGCCACTCTAAAAATAAATGATCTTACAGTCCACTATTTGTATGCATTATTAAATCTCTCAGGAAACTGAGATATATGCTTGCAGCTATATATTTTAACTAGAAGCTATCTGTTTGGGGGTTTTTTGCATTTCTAATGCTAAAAGTTATGTATCTTTAAGGGGTAAGAATCTCGACAAAAATATACCTACAGTTAGTTAACTCCTCAATTTTATTATGAAAAAAATATTACTGCTATTCTTTAGGTAACTCCTAGCTACAAATATCAACTTCTCCTATAATAATTTAAGAACTTGACTAATTAAGTCCACACTTAGTAGGCATCTTCAATACACCAAGTTCCTAAAACCAGAGGAGAAAGATGGCATGACAACAACACATGGACACTATGGCCACTCAGAAGACAGAACACCAAAGTAAGTGGCATCACTTAAATTCTGTAATTTGAGTTTGACATGGTCTATTCTGGCTCATCAGCTGGCTGATCCATCTGTGCACATCACTTGCGTCCAGTTACCTCTCAGCTGAATGCAGGAATTTAGAACTTGATAAATACTGAGTGAGAAACTGGGTGTTTTATGTGAAGTCAAGGCCATAGGAGACATGAAGAGAGGGACTGCTATGATAAGAAGGAGAAATGTGTCCTCAAGGAGGGATACACAACTGCAAATGTATTGTCTTCTGATAGCGATACTACTTTTTCTTCTTTTTTATGAAGTTTTGAATACGTATTTTAAATAGAATCTGTTGCTACCAAAATGCCCAAGACCTACAGAACAAAGCCAGCTGCTTATGCAACATAATGGCACAGCATAGACTAATATGTATATTTTCTTTGCACCATATAATCAACACGTTGCAGTTGTTTTTTTGAACAGACACAGCAAGGGAAAAGATCAGCTTAAGGAACGTCCAAATCAGCTACCTACTACAGTTACACAGTGCTTTTTACAATGCAAATATTTGCTCACTTGAAAGATCATTAATCTCCCCAGGGAAATGGTGGATTTCCCAGTATTGGATACTTTTAACATTTGTCTGGACAGGGTGCTGGGCCATCCAAGAAAGGCTGGACCAGATGATCCTGAGGTCCCTTTCAACGTGGTATTCTATTATTCTACGACTTGTACTAGTCTAAGCTTCATCTTCGTTGTTTGGTTTTTTTTCTGAGAAGAAACAACTGGTCCCCACTTTGGTCCAAGATAACTTCAGTGACTTAAGTTACAGGTTACATAGCACAGCATTTTAAATACAGTCTACATCCAAACCAGTACCTTCTAGGCAACTGTTGAGATACTAGTGTTTCAGACTTTGCTAACAGGCTGGAACATCCATAAGAGGAATGGGAAAGGAGTTGGTTGGCTCAGCGTTACGAGAAGGCTAAGGTGAGATCCTACTGCTGTCTTCAAAGACAAAAATAGACTCCGCTTCAGGGTGCACAGTAATGAGATATAACAGACATAAGTTGGAACATGGAAAACTCCAACTAAATATAAAGAAGCATATTTTTATTTTTTTTATTTTCTTACCACGAGGGTGGTCAACTATTGGGGCAAATACTTGAAGAGGTTCCAGAACCTCCATCCTTGGAGATGTTCAAACTCGACTGGCCAAGGCGCTGAGCACTCTGTTGTTACTGCACCTGCTCTAAGCAACACTGCACGACCTCTAGAAGTCCCTTCCAACCTACATGATTTTTTCAATCTCTAAAAACGAGTATTGTACTTGTACACTTAACTTTAAGGAGATAAGTCTTTCTAACCCTCTGCCTTGGGTTTTAAGAGTTCAGTGGTATTATTGCATTAAATGTGGAACGTGACACTTCAAAAGAGTGATTGCATGGAGGTAGATAAGGATTTATGCAAAAGTATGGTAGTTCAGAGGTACTTACTCTTTTTTAAAATAGTTAAACTAAACGTATCTACCATCATCCAGGACTTTTACTGTAATGTCTATGAGTAGCATGAATAATAGCCCAAGTCAAAAAAACTCTTCCTGACAGCCAACAGTCCCCAGGGACTGTTCTGGGCTTCAGTTCTCACTGTCTAAAATTAAACAAAAGATAAAGCAAACATTCAAGTGCAGATTTTTTCAGCATGGTTTTAAAAATGTTGATCCAGAAGCACAATACATAATTCAACCCTATCTGATCTCCCAAAAGAATGTATTTGGGTTTTTTCATCTATGAACTTGACTGCTTTTTCTCTGTCAAAGCTGTTCATCTTCTTACATACATATCCTGGAAGTTAGCTTGCAAGACAAAGCCATTACAATGTCACAATTTGATTAACTGGAAACAACTTAAAGGGAAGAAGGAAGGGTGTCATACCACGTATTACATACAGGGCCACTTGATCAACTTTATTGATCTCTGTTGATGCAAAGAAATTTCTGGGCACTTTGGTGTACCATGTTTTATCAAAGCCAGGTCTTCCAAAACAGGGACTCATAGTTGGAATGATATTAGAATCCAACACAGGAGAGAAAGTACTAACCTATGTGTGTCTCTGCAAATCTATTCCACTGAGATGTTAAGCCGCTACACCTTTTGCAGTATCTGGGTATCCTTTAAGATTAGTTCAAGAACATGATGAAAATGTGCTGAAGTTGGTGAACTATAGTTTTGAAGAGTAACCAATTCAGTGACACATGCAAAAGTGCTGCCACACTACTTCAACAAAACCCAACACTTTTACCCATTGATGCTGTTTGGATGGTTAGAAGTAAAGACTTGATTTTGGAGGTCAGCAAATACTGAGCATTTAACTCCTGTCTTGGTAATGGGTAGTTGCAGCACACAGAAAAAAGTCACCATTTAAATAACTTCAAGTTCCTCCTCATTCCACTTCAACCTCTCCTCTCTTACTTGGTGAATGCATTTGAGTCAGCTACACTTTATTCAGCCGCGGTGTCAGCATATGTGCTCTCATTAAGAGTCTCTTGACAATGAAAAGTTGAGGCTCCTCATCTGCATACGGAGGGCATCAGAGCACTTTCACCTGGTTCACACAGAATATTATTAACAGAATGAAGAGAGGTCCTGTAAGGGCAGTGCAAGTGCACAACCTCAGATGCAGTCAACTCTTGTCCATTACAAATTTGACGTATCTGAGAAGAAACACTGGCAGGTTCAGGCATCTTCCTCCATCCTCACACTGGGTGAAGGACCTGCACATTGATTTATGATACCAGAGGCCAGCAGGATACGTACCAACTTTTAATATTCATTATCTCATTTTAAAAATGTGAAGTCTCAAAGTCTGTAGGACAAGTACACAAGAAAATAACAGGACTGGATTTTGTCTGCTATCACAGAATCAGTTGGAAGAGACCTTCAAAATCATCGAGTCTAACCTTTGTCATAGCCCCATCAACACCACTGAACTATGTCCCTCAGCACGCCATCTAATCATCATCATCCAAAGAATTTCTACAATTAAAAATGAAATCATAAACAAGGCCTTTAAAAGTAAACAGCAGTAACTTCAAAATAGGTAGGCCCAATTTCAGTGTTTAAAGTTCATTAACAGCTTGTCTTTTTCCTTTCTGGATACTTTCTTTATAAGCATTGTTTCTAAACCGCCTTGACAATGATGCAGTCTTTTCTCAGATCTTAACAATTTCTGTTTGCAAGATTAATTTAAATGAAATGCAGCACCATTTCTCCTCTCCATAAAGATATTTACTGGCAATAGCTTTTGAGTAGAAAGGTGAGCGGTCATCTGGTGAGGGTAATATTTTTAAGAAGCAGGTATAATTATAGTAAAGGATGTTGAACTGATGAAAGGTCTATTAAATACAAGAACAGTTACAAGAGGTATAAAAACTGTTCAAAGTGCTAACTTCGTGCCTGTGACTTCAACAATAATATGGAAATAAATGCTCCAAATTAGAAATTGTTCCAAATTTCTCCTTCCATTACATCTTCTGCACATCTGTTGAGGCTTGAAACAATTCCTTCAGTTATGATGTTAGCTGTTAGGAGCCATGAAGAATAAGAACTTCATGTTTCACCTAAGCCACCGAATAACCAGAACTCATGTGGAAAAGGAAGATGATGATATTAGACATATGACAATGGATTTATGGGGAGAATTTTACATCTGCTGCTGTGATTTACAACGTGTGTTGAAAAAAAATAGCAGAATAACATCCTGATCGTTGATTAATATTTTAGGTATTGAATTTTCTAAAATTTTTCAGAAGTTGGATCTAAGCCATGATGTTCAACCCCTTCTAAGAATCTATGATTGCATTACTCTGTACCCTATCATCTCTTCAAGTAAAACAAGCCTTTCTCTACCAAATGTTGACATGTCTTCTACCATCTTGATTAGAGACATTACTCGCCACTCAAAACTATTTTCTTGTATTAAAAACAATGTTTCTCATTTACAAGACTACATGGCCTGTCCAAAATATGTAGTGTAGTCTGTAAAAAAAGACTTCTTCCAGAATAAATACGAATTTTCATTTTAGTTATTAAATGCTTACATATATATAGCTTCATGCAGTACCAATGAAGTACTAAAAAAAAATCTGCATGTTGTTGGTTTTAAAGAAAGCTCTATGATAGTTTGTTCAGAATATTTATTATTTTCTGAAGTTGACTAACGGAGCAATAGGACAAGAGCAACATGGAAAGGTCAGCTGCAACAGCAAATAACAATATAAAAATACATACTTGCTTAATCTTTCTCATAAATAATAACATAAGGTCTGAGATCTTCTAACAATAACCATGAAATACTGCAAAAAGCCATACCAAAAAGTGAGATAAGGGGTATTATGACACACATGTTGCTTTTTCATTGAGTGCTCATGAAGAAAATTAGATCCATTCAAGCATTTCATTTTGGAAGGTTGTCACACGCTAATGGCCTATGGTCAGAATACAGAATATAAGTCTTCCTATATTTTGAGCTATTCAGTTGTCCAGGCTGCATAGTTCCAGTAAAACATTGTGTTTCTACATACACTGTGTCACGGATGACAGCAATATGCAGGTCTTAAATTGCAGTGAAGAAATAATTTTCAGAGGTGGCTTCTGGAAGTGGTACTGTGAAAACCTCTTCTGGTAGTTATTCTACTTCAGAAGATTTTAAACAAACAAACAAAAAGCCTTCCTTCCTTTCTATAATGCGAACAATTCATTTTGAGACATGAATATAATTTCCTTCTGCTAGTTTCCTTTATTTGCGGAGCACCTTCGCAAATGAGATGGTTCACAAAAGAGATGTTTTAGAAAACCAGCAGAAGTTAGCTGAAAAATGTAGGCAGACACTGATACCAGTAAGTATTTCAAAAGAACATTTTTGTGCTTGCTGTTTCCTTAAGAGTTTATTTTTTAAAAAAAGAAATACCCTAATTTAAAGAGTCTTTGAACTGAATTTTGGTGAAGTTTATTTAATTTCTTCTAAAAGAATATTTTAAGTTTTTAAATTCTGCTTCATTTTAGGAAACTAGTACATCATAAATGTGTCCATGAACAGTCTTTTAGCCATTTTCTATCAGTGCTGGTATCAAAATTCTCCTAAATCAAGCCCTATTAAAAGAAAGTTAATGTTAACTAACCTTTTATTCAAACATGAGAGCATTCAGCCCGGGAGAGAGCTTCAGCATAACAGAAACACAGTTCTACCCAAATCATAGTACATAAGAAGGAACGATGCATAAAATATTTGAAAGGAACAGAAGAAAATGAGGTGCAAAGAGCTGCTTTATAGTACAGCCAGGCTCTGCAAGTCTCTTCGAGCGTAACGGGATTTGCCTTCTGAGGAGGAATCTTTGGATTACCCGACCTGAACAACTGAGTAGAGTTCATGTAGAAGAGAAAGTGGGGAAAAAAGACCATTACAGGCCATGGCTAAATGCAGTTTTCTGTGGACATCAACAAACCGGGTGCAACCTGTACTGTGATGTATTGCAACTTGAACACTAGTAGTCTGGCACACTACCATCTGACACTGCCTTGGCTTTCCTTTAGCATGTAAGCCATATCCAAAATACTATATCCAAGAGGTGTTATACAGAATCAAGCACTCTAGCTCTTTTCCAGAGGTGTAATTATTATTTCAGCTTATGGCAAAATTCACTGGACCCTCTTTAGGCTTATGGACTTTTCTGGTCTCCTACAAAGATTCTTCAGTTTGTAACGTTGTTCGAGTCTTAGGATTTTGTAGCCCTCTTAGTACTGACCTAATCCAGACAGCCTACACACCCTTCAGGCCTCCACCTCTGAGAGAATTCTATCTTTGAGTTCTCCAAGCTCTCTTCCCGGTAGGTTTCCTCCTTGAGAGCCTGACCCAGAAATTCAGATGCTGCAGGAACTCCCAAAAGACCTTGTTGTTAACAAATATTCCCATGACATAACCTATGGATTGATCCTCCCTGAGAAGTGAGCTACATAACAGGGCTGAGGTCTAACATCCAGAAAGGGACAACCTGTTACAAGCCTCCTAATTGCAATGCTATTATTTCTCCTAGGAAGTATCAACAGTTAGTGAAGGTGTACGAACCACCTCAGTTTCACCTTCCCCTCTAAAAACCTAGGCATGACTTTTCTTTTTATTTTTTCTGGTAAGAAGCACTTACCCTGCTGCCCCTGCGGTGTTTGTGAGATGATGAACTGTGCTGGCTGCAAGTTGGTTGTTGGATGCACCAACACAAACTGCTGCAGGTTGAGATTCTGCTGCTGAAGCTGCTGCAAGTGCTGCAAATCCTTAAGGAAACAGGAGAAGGGGAAAAAAAAAAAAGAAAGAAAAGAAAGAAAGGAAAAAATAAAACAAAAAAAAGAAAACAAAAAAAAACAAAGAAAAAAGGGGGAAAAAGGGGAAAAAAAGTAAAAAAAAAAAGAAAAAAGAAAAAAAGAAAAAGGAAAAGAAAGCTATGTGTTAGACATTCAGGTCAGCCATGACTCCCAATGTACCTAGATTTCCTATCAAACAGTTACATTCTAACATTTAGAGTCAAACACAGCATACAGCAGTCCTGCTACTTAATGTCCTTTAGGCTGGCAATTTCAACTTCACTGTCCTTCATAAAAAATCAAACAAAAATTGTTTAGAAAATAAGCCAGGAAAAATACTTTCTGCGCTGTCTGCTTTCAGTAAAAATAATCCACACAAATTCACCTTTCTCCCCACTAAATGCATAAGTTTCCAAATACTTTAGACTTATTAGCATACAGACTTCTCAGACTTTTTTTTTTTTTTTTTTACGATGCAACTCTGCTACAAAATTTATTGTTGACAAATCAAGTATCTTAGCTGGGAGCTATTTTTGTTTATAACAACAACAATCTGCAATTACCATTCCAATCAGCAACAGGAAAGTAAAAAATTACAGATTCCTAGTTTGCACTCTGGTTGTTAAGGTCAAATTTCAGGAAATAGCCAACTCAAATAGTAAATAAATATAATTGATTAGTCCTGAAAAAAATACAATAAGCTTAATAGGCATGTCTATAATTAAAGGTTAAAAGGAATAACCCAAAATGCTGCATTACTGTAGAACCCTACTTTTATGTATTTAAACCTTTCAGAACTGTTAATTTTCTAGAATTAAATGACTGGTCTCAACATAAATGCTAATCTCTGAGAAACTGAATCGAGAAAAATGCTTCAACTTGCTGTTTAGCTGAAGAATAAAACCATAGAGAAACAAAGAGACCAAAAACCTCCCCAAAATTCTGTTTCAGATAATTACCCAGACACCAGACTACCTGTTTGCAGACAGATACAGATATACCGCTTCAAGGTCTAACTGTGCCGGACGGATTTTAACAATGCCAGTTCTCTCCTAACAGTGCTCAGTCTGGCTGCTTGAATGGAGCCGCTTGTTTTAACATACTTGAGTTAAAGTGAGCCAGACTAAGCAAGGCTTGCTCCTCAAAGCCAGCAAAGCAGCCCCCCCACATTTTGACTGACTGCGGGTTACGGAGCACTCACACAAGCTGCTCAGCCAACAGATGTGAAAGGCCATTAGCCGCCAGCGATGGAGATGGTGATGGAAAGTCAAGACAGACTGACAAGGATAATTTCTCATTTACACAATACAGCCATTTGCACAATATAGTTATCTGTCTATGACCTGCCGTTAGTTTAAAACTGTTAAACTAAGACTTAAAAGTTGCAACAATATCCTTCTGGGGAAGAGGGGTGGGGGAGTGTCAGTGAGTGGAAAGGAAGATGATGGAGGGAAAAAAACAGAGAGTCCGTTGATTTATGAGACCACAGACATGCATTACAAGAAAACGCCTACTTAACCTGCATTACAAAGACACTGGCCATCAATCACTTAAGCAACTTGGTTATGTTGAGCCAAAAGCATGCAGAGTAGTAATATGGTACACAGACACCACATGGATTGACCAAAGCAATGCTCTTTAAGAAATGAAAGCTCCCACTTTATCAGGGAATGGTAAAATGTTGGAAAGTGCTCCCCAAGCACAGCAGAGTGTCTTTAAAGTTGATAGTGCTGTTTGCGTTCAGAAAATTTGAATACTACTACAACCATTAACTAAGAAATCGAGGTCAGTTTTCTTCTGAAAGAAGAGAGGCGTGACTGCACCACTTTTTTCCCAGGAACAATATGTTTCTTCTGACTTCATATCATAAAGTTACGCTGGTCAGAACTGCTACTAAAAACTCTTACTTCTGGAGGCCAATGTGACATGGACCTCCACTCATGTATTCACTGACTTTTCAACATTCTGCTGGTCACTTCTGCAGATTGCATAGATCGTCCCAGCACAGAGGGGCTTATACTGAATTGGATGCGAGAACTAGATGCAAAAGAAAAAATAAAAATAGAAAGAATATGGCAAATTGACTAAGGCTGTGAACTCTGGGTAGAAGAAAAAGGAATGAAGAGACAATGAAGGATGAAAATAGAGGTGGGTAAGAGAAAATGCAGAAACACAGAAGGAAAAGCCGGGCAGAAATTTCTGAAGGAAAAAGTATGGACAGAAAAATGGAGAGGTTGAGGACCTCCCCCACCGAAAGCAAACAAATGAAATTTCCCCCTATGATCAAGTAGATTTAAGATGATTTGAAGAAGCACCACAGGACATGTTGCTAAATACAAGAAAGAATACAAATAAACAGAGGCAGCATATTTGTAAGATCAAAGGAGGAGAGCTTTTTGTTTAAGAATATAGTGTTCATAACACAGGGTACCCAGCTAAGATGTGACAGCTCTTATCATCAGGCTCTTTCACTTTAATATTAGAAAACTGTTTTTAAATTGAGGCCTCAGGGATAACTGGTATAAGCAATCTTATTCTGTGCATCTGCCTTGCTAAATGGTATCTTGGCTGGGTCTTGTTTAAATAGAGAAATACAATTCTGTAATGCAGAATGGAAAACATACCTCCAAGGCTAATCACTCTTAAATAGCCCTACCAGCCCTTCAAATTCATTTGAAATCCAACTTTATTTCTACCTGGGGAAAGTTTTATTATTTAGTTAATTGTAGCATTACAATAAATCTCCTAATAAAGAGTGAGACCAACAACTCTGACACTTTTCCTATATCAATCAGTTTTTTCCTCAATAGCAAAATCTATATATGAGCACAAGCACGTAGAAAGAGATGGAAACGTGTTTTCTAGGGAAACGTGTTTTCTGGTGCTGCCTAACAATTTAGAAAGAACAAAATAATCCAACTCCTACCTCTACAGAATAATCTGCCAAGTGCTACATCTTGATGTGAGGAAGTTGTTTTTTTAAAAAAAAATCTAAAGTTCTAAATTCAATGCCACTATCTTTATTTACAGCTTCAGCATAAACTTAAGCATCTCCATCATGTTCAGGTTTACATCATATTAACACTAATCTTGGATCCTGAAGACAAGTTTACAAAGTACTCCAAAACTCGTACAACTCTGTAGTGACAATTTAGCATCAGCCCAGTGACAGCACTAACTTCTTAACAAACAGCTGCAGCAGACACCTTACATTAACTGCAATGCACATTAAAGAAGTCATGGTTGTGCAATTAGTTAATTAAAATAAATATTATAATCCCCCTGCTGCAGAGACCTGCCAGTTAATCAATTATTCAAAAATCATTAATTAAAACAAACATCCAGCTATTTGTGTAATCAGCTACATGTTTACAATAGCAACGCAAACAAAGCTAATCACAGTTTATAAATTGCCAAGATGGATCAAAAAAGCATGGTGTTATCCTACCCACAAACCGAAACGACAGAGGTTTCCCACCAAGAATCTCAACTTATATCCAATACCTGCACAAATTATGCCCTTCGCTTCCATCATATGATGTTAACAAGATTCAACCAAGCTACATTTATACATCAAAACAGCCTATTCTAAAAGAGGTCAAACAGTTAAATAATTAGGAATGCCAGTAAACAAGTGACAATCTAATTTGTTCCCCTTGTGCTACAACTACACATTATATTGCAGCAACTACATGATCACATGCTGTTTTTCTTAGAGCCTTTAGCTCATTCACATGCACAAACCAGACACACTAGCTTCCAAAGCTCTTATTTGACGGCACGTGTCTAATCTTTTCAACTCTTCCCAAACACTTTCGGAAGTTCTGGAGAAAAACTCAGTACTAAATTAGTAATTCTAAATGCCTCACACATTTTCATAGCTTCCCACCAAAGTGGAAGAGCAAGATTAGCAACATCACACCCACGCACAACAAAGTATCCACTAATTTCCTGGTATATTTGACAAATCTAAAGTCAGAAAGTTCAAGGTGCAGAGTTTATTAATACGGAATCCTAACGCTCTGCACTTCAGTAGAGCAGACCTCACTATCTTAAGCTGCACACCTGGAAGATGAAGCCACACACTTGTGGATCGCTTACATCTAGCTTAAAAGACTTGCATAATAATAAAAGAGAATTTTGCAACAGATGCATGGAGAAGGTAACCCACAACTTCCTCGACAAGGACAATTGTCATTCTTTTCTTGAAGTCCATCCATGTTACTGGCTACACACAAAGGAGTAACATAATTAAGATATGATCTTGGGAGTTACAGGTTTCCTTGAGTCATCTCCAGATCACGACAGTGAAGTGGCATCCTGTGCTAAAAGAACTATTAATATCTGGTCACGTGACTCATTTCAGTGCACCAAGAGGCTTAGTATGAGGGGTAGGTGGGCAGTATCAGCACTGGCCTTCTAAATGTCAGGTGGCATCACTCTGGCCTCTGTAAGGACAGACAGAGAGGTCAGAACTTTCAGATCGACAGCACTCAAGTTTGCTACTTGAGCTAATAAAAAAAGGATAGCACAGCCAGGCTATTATTCAGCTAGTAGACTACCGTAACAAAAGAACAGCACATTTCACCAATGGACTCCACAGATGATTGCAACATTTACGTTCTACTTAATCGGGTCTCATCTTCACTTCTAGACACTTCATCCCAGTTGAACGCAAGTGAAAACAGCCTGAATAGAAAGTGTCAGACAGTTTTAAAGGGCCTGCTCACTGCAAGAAGCAACAACTTTGGAGATTAAGTACCCAACATACTTCACACAGCTAGACTAATCAAACTGAAATATTACATACCAAGAACCTTAAACTATGGGAAGATGGACCTCAAAGTCAGCAACACAAGCACCTACTGGTAGTACTCCAGATGCCTATGCTATAGATTCAGTTATCCTTATCCAAAAGCCTAAGGAGCTTCCACACTACATGTGCTAAGCATACAAACAGTGGCACTGCATTCTCCAAACTGCATTAAGCCAGTCCTGGGAGATCCAGGAGGGTCTTTGCTGCTCCTAGTAAGCAGAACTTCTTCCTTGGGAAACAGCTCTACAGAATTAAGATTTAATGGGTCTTTAGCAGCAGACTATAAAACTGGACAGATTCTGACACCAGATTCATTCTGGTAAGCCGTTCTCCAGACACACAAGAGCATCCATTTTTTGTCACTGAACACTGCTGGTAAGGACCAAGCCAAAACAGCACACAAACACATCAAGCCAAACTGCCTTTCTTCAACTCCGTAATTTTGCTTTTTAGATCTAACAAGTATCTTTTTTAATACATAGGTATGCTTTCCCATCCACGCAGGTCTCAACAAGCGCCATTTCTATGGGCATCTTTCTATACCCCTTATTCTCCTTTCTCAAGCTAACTACAAGGAGGAAAAAAAAGAAAATACATCATCTGGTCAGATTCTGGAACAAACCCAGAAGCCCAGTGGAACTGCCTGAGCGGCTGGTATGCTTTCTTTGCTAGAACTATCAACTTCAACCTCATCAGCTAAGGATGCATGAGGAAAGACTAACAGTACTCACAGACTCTAAGAACTCACTGAATAAGGAATAGAAATATTACTTGAATGATGCAATTAGTCAAACCTCTTTATTTTCCACCCTCTCAAGCCTCAAGGCTCACCTGTGCAATCTGTATTGGCTGAGATAGAGGGATCTGCGTCATCGGCGTTGCAGCAGAGGCCGAGATGGTGGCACCAGCAGCGCTGTGCTGCTGACTGGCTGAATGCTGCACTGCAGCCGCCAGCAACTGTGCCTGCGCCTGTTGTAGCAATAACTGTTGCTGGGCTGGCGTCAACGTGAGCTATAAATAATTAGAAAACACAGCCATTAATAATGGAAAGAGCCACTTCAGCTACAAAGTCATTAGCTAGCTCAGTACTAGTTAGATTAACCAGGCATTCCTAGAACTACTACTATGGTTCAGCCATTAACTAGCCAATGACTCTGGCCTCACGTAAGGGCAGGTGGCTACTTGACCTGGCGTAGGAACCAACCTACCACTGACCTGACACAAACCAAACCGCAGGAACGCAAACATTTACACTTACTGGAGCCTACAGAACCTAACTTCCCTCCAAAGTTTTATTCACAACTCTACCAGGAGGTTCAGGAAAAAGGTGATTAAGTAGCAAGCAAAAGAAAAGAATCAGTATTGCCAGGATTTGAAAGGAAATTTACACCCAGCAGAACAGCAAGTGATTAGCCAGATGAATGAGAAGCA